TTATATTGTTGCATGTATTGATGTCCTCTTGGAAATCTCATCTGTTCTTTACGTCTGGTTATATTATGGGGGAGTTTGAAGTTATATAATTTTTAACAGCCACCCATAAATATTATTTTGCTCGCAATCAAATTTGTGGCTCTGCTGGGGCAGGAAACAGAGAGAGGACAAAGGCGGGGGTCCTGAGCTCCTATGCAGCAGCTGATTCTCCTCTGCCCATCACACCTTTAAGGCTTGTCGCCACCCCTATTGGCAAAACCTATTGGTGTTTGGCAACTTTCTGACTAGTTGCAGGACCTAGCAGAGTACACGCAGAATCCACGGAGGCAATTGGCAACTTGGCTGCAGACTGGATAGACGAAGGAAGCAGGAACCAGGAACTTGTAGTTAGGTGTTTATTATATACAGTGGACTATTTACAGGAACAGAACATGGATCTTTAGCTAGTTCTCTCTTACACGACTCACAACTCCTACACTGACACACAGAACCCTGAACTCCTGAACTAACACATTCCAGTTGGTAGGCCATTAATTATCACTCCCTTGAGAGAGCTTGACCAATCAGGGAGAGGTCTCCATGTCTCTGTTGTCTCCAGGCAGACTTACTCCTTCAGATTGCCTTCTGGCTGTCTGCCAAACCTTAATTGACTCTGTGTGAGGAGCTGCACGTACACAGTTTCCCAACAACCCCCCTCTTAGCAAGCCATGCTCAGTTCTAATTTCAGAGCCCAGCTGGTCCAACATCAATTCAAAACAAGATTCTGCTTTTGCAGCTGAGCGCTGGCCATTGTGGGGTTAAGAACCCTCTGCCACTAGCTAAGTCATCTTCGCTCTCCCCTCCATGCACATCAATGAAGTGAGGTTTTGGTAGGAAGAAGAGGTGACTTTGAAATGCTGTGTCTTTGCTGCTTGCACAGAAATACATGGCTGAATCCTCTGTTCTGGCTGGGGAAATGTTAAGGTGGCATTGCTTTGTTTCACGCTGCTCAGCTTGGAAACGCTCAGAAATGTTGCCTTGATGCTGTGGTTGATTTAAATAGAAACTAAAGAGAAGCTGCAGACCCTGTCCTGGGTCTTGCCGGAACCAAAACATGCTGTTGTGGTCGGTAGTTTGTTCGCATTCCAGCCTGGCATTTCTGCCTTCCTGAAGCACCAGACTCCACTGCTGCCTGATCTCTGCATTGGACCATCCTGGGGGAGAAAGGGAGAGGGAAGCTTGTGAAGAAACCCTTTAAAACAATGTCTTAAATAAGAATCCTTGAGTGAAGGTCTTACCTACTTCCAAGAGGCAAGTGGCCACACACCAGATGATCCACATCTCTTCCCCTCTGAGCTGCGGGCAAACGGTTTAGAACAGCCGCAGCCTCTACTTCCTTCTCTTGACTCCAGTTTATGTCATCGCAAAGGCGGAGACAGCAATGACTGCCCAGGGCTGCAGTGCAATTCATTTTATGTCTATTTGAAAGTCCCACTGAGAGTGTTCACTGGGGTTTACTTTCATGCCATCTCCAATGCTTCGAATTATTCCATCCATGGTGTCTCTGAAATTTTTTTACACATCACCTTGGGAAGACAGGTGAACTAATGCCAGTGTACTGGAAGAAGCAAAGATCATCAGTGTCAAAGCAATCATCAACTTCGTGGGACTGGTCATGTTGTGCGGATGCCTGATTATCGTCTTCCAAAGCAACTACTCTATTCTGAACTTAAAAATGGAAAGCATAATGCTGGTGGTCAACAAAAGAGGTTTAAAGTCTCTCTCAAGGCAAATCTAAAAAAATGTAGTATAAACACCTACAAGTGGGAAACACTGACCTGCCAGCGTTCCAACTGGAGAACAGCCTTTACCAAAGGTGTCATGGGTTTTGAAGACACTCAAACTTGGGATGAAAGGGAGAAACTTGCTAAGAGGAAGGCATGCTGGGCAAACCCTCACCATGATCAACTCCTGCCCGGAAACCTATGTCCCCACTGTGGAAGGACGTGTGGAGCCAGAATTGGCCTCCACAGACACTTACGGACTCACTGTTAAGACTGTGTCTATGGAAGACAATTTTACTCGGCTACAAGTGATTGCCAAAGAAGACTCTCATGCAAGTTTGTGGCTGTCTACTCACACACAGATCCTGGGAACTGTAGTTTATGCCCCACAGGGGTACAATTCTCCAGCACCCTCTACAAACTACAGTTCCCAGAATACTTGGAGGTGTTTTGAATCTATGGTGTGCATAAAGCCTATATCAGATCACCTCATACTTTTGAATAATCAGCTCAACTTTAATTGATTCCATTTTATATGGCAGAGCCGAATTGCCCAGGGGCAAAAAGCAGTTCGTGCTCTTTTTTTTAGAAATCTGCCATTGTTGCTGCCAGGCACCGCTGCACAATCCAGGTAAGGGAGGCTGGGGCGGTGGTATAATTTTCTTTCAGCCTCTTGCAGGCTGAAAGAAAATTATATGAAAATGATATACTGGTGGTATTTGACTCCTTGTAAGCTTGCAAAAATGTATAAGACAAGTGCAAATATCTGCTGGAAAGGTAAGCAAAAGGAAGGCACCTTCTATCATATGTGGTGGACCTGTAAGGTTCTAAAAGCATTCTGGGAAATGATATATAGTATTCCCTGCCAATCTGGCTGGGTTTCCCCAGACGCTCTTCGTGGCCCCCAAACAGAATATTAAAAACACAATAAAACATCAAACATTAACAACTTCCCTAAACAGGGTTGCCTTCAGATGTCTTCTAAAAGTCAGATAGTTGTTGATTTCCTTGACATCTGATGGGAGGGCGGTCCACAGGGCAGGCGCCACTACCAAGAAAGCCCTCTGCCTGGTTCTCTGTAACCTCATTTCTCGCAGTGAGGTTAAATTAATTCAAAGCGGGCAGACAGGGCAGAGGTTAAACACTTCCTCTCTCATCCACTGATTTGTCTATTCAAATACTGCCCCAATTCCCAGCATGAGTGTTATGAGAAAAACACAAGATCGTGTCTGTCTCGTTCTACCCTCAGACGCTCATACATATGAAATGTTCTTGCAGGTGGGAAGCATTACTTTGAACTGCTGTGTCAAGGCTGGTTGCACAGAAATAGATGGCTGAATCCTCTTGTTTCACAGAGGAAATCTTCAGCTGAAGGCGCTGAGTCTCAGGCTGCTTGGCTGCGAACCGTTCAGGAAGACTGCTGTTCTCCAGAAGTTCTCGATACTGGAAAAAATAGAGAAACTGCAGAACTCGATTTGCACCCTGCCGGTACCAGAACATATAGTTGTGAGACTCCGTTTGATTGCATTCCAGCTGAGCAGTGTCCCCGTCTCTCAGCACTAAACCCGGTGTTTGGTCGATGCGAGCATTTAAGCTTCCTAGAAGAGAGAAAACTAAGTGTTATAACATTGGGGGTGAGGGTTTAAACCAGTGTTTTCCAAACCTGGGTCTCCAGTTGTTTTTGGACTACAGCATCCCTAGCTAGCAGGACCAGTGGTCAGGGATGATGGGAATTGTAGTCCAAAAGCAGCCAAAGACCCAAATTTGGGAAAGCCTGGTTTAAACCAACATCGCAGGTGAGCTTTATATAAAAAGGGTTCGATGAAGGCTTTACCTATTTCCAAAAGCCAAATGCTCAGAATGTACCAGCTAATCCACATTTCTTCTCTAACGCAGCCACTAGACTTTCGGCAAGTTTCATGTGGCTGTGATACTCTACGCTTCCTTCTGTGGTTCCGTCACACTGGCTCCCCTCCTGACATCACAAAGTCAAGGTAAGCAGATACTGCTGGCTTTGCTGCTCTAGTTTAGGGGCACGAAATCTGTGGGCTGTGAACTGTTGCTGGACTCCCATCAATAGCCCTACTGCCTGGGGCTGATTGGAGTTGAAGTGCAACAACAAACGTCCCCTTCCCTGTATATAATGCAATAAACCAACATACATTTTAACCTGACGCATCAATGTGCTCCAATTTTAATTGGTGGGACTGAGAGTTTAGGGCATGCCTGTTTGTGTCCAGAGGATATTCGCAACACAATCCTGTTTATGCCCTGGAAGCAGCTCACACTCCTAGGTTTGATAACAGCATTTTTGTATTTATTGTCCAATGTTCCTGCTTTTTTATTATGCTTTCCACGATTAAATTCTTTAATGTTACTTCTTCTCTTTTTTGCCCAGGAATATTCTATAACATGACAAGCCACAAATGTTTATATCACTTGTTATATTCTGGCAGGGATGTAACTCTATGTAGACAAAGAGAGAGTTGATTAGGCAATCTCAGTGCTGTTTTTCTAAAAAAAGAGGTTCTGGAACTCACCTTGAACACCTCCCTTGTTCTCTTATAATGGCAATGGCACCACTTGAGAGGTGCTGGAACTGAGTTCCGGAGAGTTCCGGCTGAAAAAAAGCCCTGGGCAATCTGATGGTATCAAAGTATCTCCACCTAAGGTAAAGGTTAAGGGACTCCTGACCATTAGGTCCAGTCGTGGACGACTCTGGGGTTGCGGCGCTCATCTCACTTTATTGGCCGAGGGAGCCGGCGTACAGCTTCCGGGTCATGTGGCCAGCAGGACTAAGCCACTTCTGGCGAACCAGAGCAGCGCACGGAAACGCTGTTTACCTTCCCGCCAGAGTGGTACCTATTTATCTACTTGCACTTTGACATGCTTTCGAACTGCTAGGTTGGCAGAAGCAGGGACCGAGCAACGGGAGCTCACCCCGTCGCGGGGATTAGAACTGCCAACCTTCTGATCGGCAAGCCCTAGGCTCTGTGGTTTAACCCACAGCGCCACCCGCGTCCCTACATATCTCTAAATATACATACCACCTACATATCTCTAAATATGTGAGAGAAACTGAATGCCAGTGTGAATCTTAGTTACTTGCTGATTTCCCCCCCTTAAAAGTCACCTCCCAGCTGGATCAGAATAAGGCTCCCATGGTTGTGTTCTGAAAACTATGGCAGCCTTCTCAGAATGCTTCCAGAGCATGTGTGGAGAGCCCTTTCCTTGTGAAAGGAACTAATTTCTGCTTTCTTTTTAAATGAAGCTGTAAAGTACCCTTTGCCAAACAATTGCACTGGTTGGGGCTGATGGGAGTCCAAAACATTTTGCCCGGTTAGCAAAAACTGATTAAAAGGAATAGTTGCCTCAAAGCATCATCCTATAAAATATATTTTACACACTTATTTAATTTCTAGACCACGCTTCATCCGAAGATCACAGGGCAGCTTGCAACATAAAAACACAAAAAAACATACTGTAATAACAAATGAAAACAATAACCCCCACACTCAATTTAAAAGGCCATAGATCAGCACAATCAGACACCTTCATCTTCCCCAGTTGCAACAAAACATGTCTCTCCCCTAATTGGTCTCTACGGCAGGCTCTGTAACTCGCCAATGGTTTGACTTCACCCCCCAAAGGCACATTCTTCCATTGTCACCCTAGACAAAAGGATGCCTGCCAACCAACCAACCAACCAACCAACCAACCAACCAACCAGAGATTGTCTAATTAGCCAAGGGCCTGAGATATTTATTGTTTTATTTAAAACAGAAGGAGAGAAATGCATCACCGGCAACTCAAGGGTTCAGCAGCCCTCGATGGACCCTATGATGTAATTCTTAAATGATAAGGCAGGGATAGGGAAATGGTGGCCCTCCATCCGACTACAGCCCCCAGCCAACATGGTCATTATTCAGAGATGATGGGAACTGTAACAACATCAAGGTGACCCTGGCGCAGGGTCTGCGGTGATGAATGCAGTTCCTCTCCCATCAGTCAGAGTGAAACGGTGGCAGCACACATTACGCCGGGTGGAATTCCCCAGTCAGAGCAAAACTCCTTTCAAACAGCAGCCCACCCCTTCTAAGGCCTAGTTCTCAAAGACAACAGGTGTCACGTTGCTAAACACAGCCAGGGCAGGCGGTTATTGCACACTGCAGGAAGAGCTCCTGACTACTGTGTATCTTCTGCTAGCACAGAAATACACGGCTGTATCGCTTGCTTCGACCGAGGAGATGTTCAAGCAAAAGACTTTATTGTCCAGCCGACGAGCCGTCAGTCTGTCCGACTTGATCTCGTTGGTCTCCACAGCATTTTCAATGGAGTAATAGAGAAGCTGAAGGGCCATCCCCTGGGGCTGTTGCTTGTACCAATACATGTTATCGTGTCCGTAGGTTTGACTGCATTCCAGCTGGGCTATTCCGCCCTCCTTCACCATCAAGCTTGGTGCCTGGTGGATCTCTTTGCCTGCAAGCCCTTGGCGGGAGAAAAAGATGCACTCAAAGAAATTGCTCAGATAATCGTATTCATTTTTCTATTTCTACACATATCTGTGCTACAAACGTACACTGGTCGCATGATTTGTATGCCACACTAACTGTCCTGGGACTTGCCCCCCCCCCCAGCATCTGGGGGACTGGGTAGGAGGCATCCAGCAATAATACATGGATGCCACCAGGTTGACGAAGCAAGTCCACAGCAAGAGCTGTGTGCCCCAGAAGCTTCGATTCTCCAACTTGCCCTCCTTGTTCTTTCCTCCTCGGTTTGTATCAACCTGAGGCAAATTGTAAGAACATTTTAATTCCAACAGAATATTTTAGGGTTTCCTGACTGGTCGTTTCCTCCCAGCTACAAACCCACCTGCAGCAAAGAGAGAAACAGCCACACACCACACGGTCTGGACCTTCATCTTGGAGCGTTTGCTGTTTCTCAACCATCTCCTTGCAGAAATACAGTCTAGGCTCAACCGCTCCCCCTTGAGGATGGAAAACTCCCTTGAATGGCCAAGTTCGAATGGAGAAACACACATTTAAATGGATTTCCTGCATTTCATGAAATTTATAACACTGCTGGATTGTTTTTTAAAAAAGGAAAACAACAACACAAAAAGTGGTTTACAAAAATGCATTGCGCCCCTCATTAAAAAGATATATTGAAAACACGGACGCAGAGCATTTTTTTAAGCTGACCCAGAGATGGTAGGGGAACAATTAGGATCAGAGACATCATGCTTCCCTCCCTAAGATGGGCAGAAGCTTTCTGGGCTTTGAGAAGGAGGCACCGGACTTTAATACTTTAAGGTTCTAAACTAAAGAAGAATGGCAACTTAAGCTGTCAGAATATGTGCAGCTTGCAGACTTAGCATATAGAATAAGAGAACATACGTTTAGAGAAGATTGGAAAACCTTTATTGAATACATGGTGGGGAATTGTGTACACTTGAAAACGTTGGCAGCATTAAGATAAATTCAACAGTGTAAATAAGTTTTGATGGATGCAATAACGGAATACTGAATGGTTTAGTTTTTGTAAAATATGCAGGGATTTATGATATGCAAAATGAACTATGGAAACAGAAGAGGGGAAGTCATTGATATTTTAAGGATGTTTAAATGAGTATTTTAAATTGTAAAACAGAAAAAATGTAATAAAAATTATATATATAATACTTTCAGGCTCCAATTTACTGGGAACCAGTACTCCCCCCCCCAGTGGGTACTCAAGGGTACGCAGTAGCAGCACATCTTTTTGTTGTTAAAAAGTGTGGCACTTGCTCTAACAACTTCATGGTGAGCACCTCTTTTTCTAGAAAAAAGCAGTGGCGGGAACATTTAGGGGACTAGCCCTGCCCCCTAGTCCAGTGACTGCTTGCCACTGAGCAGAACATACAACTATCTGACTTTTGGAAGACAACTGAAGGCAGCCCTGTTTAGGGAAGTTTTTAATGTTTGGTGTTTTATTGTATTTTTAATACAATAATATTAATACAATGGAACACTCTGTCACAAGAGACTAGGGCCCTGCAGGACTTGACATCTTTCTGCAGGGCCTGCAAGACAGAGCTGTTCCACCAGGCCTTTGGCCAGGGCACAGCCTGACTCCCTCCTTCGGCAACCTTCGCGGAGCTCTGGCCCAATGGTTGCCATTGGTTCGATTTGAATTAATTAATTTTATAATGAATGATTTTAGAGTGTTGTGTTGTACTGTTATACTGTTTTATTGTTGTTAGCTGTCCTGAGCCCGGCTTCGGCTGGCTGGGAGGGCGGGATATAAATAAAATTTATTATTATTATTATTATTATTATTATTATTATTATTATTATTATTTTGTTGGAAGCTGCCCAGAGTGGTTGGGGAAACCCAACCAGATGGGTGGGGTATGTATGTATGTATGTATGTATGTATGTATGTTTGGTTTCTGGGGAGCTAACCTGGCTGTCCCTCTTCGGCTTGTCTGGGACAAGGTTCTGTCATCACACTGCAAGTTAAGCAACTTCTCAAAAGCAATTTGGGGGACATACAACTGAAGTTCTGAGCGAACTGTGGTTAGAGAACACTGGGTGATCATTGCAGACATGCCATCAGCAACGGCACTGGCAGCTGCTTCCTGCCCTCCTCCGAACATGAAGGTGACTGGTTATAGTTTGCGTGTGTTTGTGGCCTAGGTGGGAGCGTGGGCAGAGCTGCGATGTTCATGTGCAGCTGGGAGGCAGAGAACTCTCACTGTGCCTTTACTAGCTGCACAGAAATACACTGCTGTGTCTGCAGCTTGTCCCTGAGGGATGGACAAGGAGGCACGAGTCACTTCCGGTCTGTCTATGCTGTATTGAGTCATCTCCATCTCTGGGTCATTCCCATGTATAGAGAATCCAATGAGTTGCAGATGCTTCTGCACGCTGTTGCTCTTCTGCCGGTACCAAAAAACATATAAGTAGGACGAGTCATCATGCTTGCAGTCTATGCTTGTTTTGCTCCCTTCCCGGATGATTTGGAAGCGATCCTCCTGTATCACGTTGATCCCACTGCAGAGACCTGCAAAACACCAGAGAGACGAAGAAGGGCCCATAATAAAAGAGCGTGCATGTCGCAGTTCGGCTCCACATTTCCCCCTTGTTGTTGTTTTCTTCTTCGTTCTTTAGTTCTGTCCAACTTTTGTGCTAACTACTTGCTTATACTTCATCAGAAAAAGGTTGTGGTGAAGGTTCCATCCCATAATCCCAGCTCTTCCCAGTCCACTCCCTTACCCCTTTCTTTCCAGTTCTCCTACGCACCCCCTCCTCAATATTTCCCACTCCACATTGCACTGCTGAGCTTCTCTTCCTCAGGAAAGACACAGAGTGAACCTAGAGACCAGATTGGTGGTAAACTTCCTTTCCCTGGTACCCTGGCCATTAGGAATCAAGCCTGCACTAGACTCTTCTATGTCTGAACTATGAACCTCCTCTTCTCCCAAGGCAGATAACTTATTCTTTGTGCTTCTGCTTCTCATTTATCAAATCTCTCCCAGTATTCTCTCTTCTCCTAATTTCTCTTCCCTGTTGCAATTTTCATATTGCTTGTAGGACACATTTTTTCTATCTCATTGCCAACCACCTTGGCAGATCTCTCCTGAAAGGACTATTCTGTGCAGCTGGTTTCTTTTCAGCCTGCCTTTTGTAGATATGGAGGCCCTTAGATACATCCTGCCTTTGAGAGAGAGATCCCTACCTGTCAACAGCTGCAGGCCAACAGAGACACCCAGCACCGACCGCCACATGGTGTCTGTTGCAAGAGAAATGCAGAGCAAGACATCTGTTGCCTCCTCAGTGCTGGAGTGGAGTTCCATTAAAGAAGAGGTTCACTTGAGCACCTCATTGGCCCTGATTCTGAGACTGTCCAGCCAATGAGGTGAAGCAGCTGGGGACCTATAGAGAAAGAGGAGCTCATCTCTCTGCTAGGGGCATATAACCTCAAATTGATGTTAGCTGACACCTGAATGAGTTAGCGATCCTATATTTTTTTAAAAAGTTTTTATTATTAAAATAATTCAGCATTAATACACACTTATTGCGAATATACAAGCATACAAACATACATTTCATGCAATCCTTAAAAATGTTCAAACATACCTACACTCAATCCCACAGATAATTCCCTTTTCCCATCACCATCCACCACCCCTCACCCCACCTTTGTGTTAGACTTCCAATCTACTCAATTGCAATTTCTTTCCACTTCTATTGCTTTCTTTCACACACCTTTAACCTAATTTCATGCTTCTTTTTCTAATACACATTGTTATCTTATTTAGTATTTCAGTATTTAAAATGGAACTTGTTTATTCTAATAGGAGTTCTGATTTTTCAATATGGTTTTGCAAGTATCCTTTAAACACCTTCCAGTCCCTGTCTATCTTCTCTTTTGAGATCCTTCCAATTTCTCCCATTGTTTTAGATATATTGTAATACTCCAATAATTTGGCAAGCCACTCTGTTTTTGTTGGTATAATACCACTTTTCCAATTTTTCACAATCCTATTTTTATTATGTTTCCTAAGCTACCCATACTGCATCTCAACTTGCAGCCATTGTTCTATGAGCCTTGTTCTGTGTTCTTTAGTACAAGGTGTGTTCTACATTTTTTCTCTTCTGTATGCATTCTGAGTCTACTGATGGTTTACACATACAAGTTGTTTTATGATTTGGGGAGGGCACATATCCCCCTCCAGGTAATAAGAGATTTATGGGAACAACTGTTTTATTTCTCACCTTGGATTCTGTGTAACAGATAGAGAAATTGGCTCTACAGTAAATATAAGTTAAATCCAAGTACAGTCGTACCTTGGAGGTCGAACAGAATCCATTCCGGAAATCCGTTCAACTTCCAAAATGTTCGGAAACAAAAGAAGCCAATCAGAAGCCGCGGAAGCCCCATTGGACATTCGGGTTCCAAAGAACGTTTGTAAACCGTAACACTCACTTCCGGGTTTGTGGCATTTGGGAGCCAAAACATCCAAGTACCAAGGCGTTTGGGATCCAAGGAACGACTGTACTCCAAAGTAATTGGGTTTTTCATCTGGTAAGAATGTGAGCCTCATATATGCATTATTGTGATTGAAGCTCAACAGAGACTTCACTGAACTGAGCCATTTGTCAAGATTTCAGTGTTTGTACCTAGGTTTGGAGTATTTGCTAGACAACCATGTTGATGTTTAGTCGTTTAGTTGTGTCCGCCTCTTCGTGACCCCATGGACCAGAGCAGGCCAGGCACTTCCGTCTTCCACTGCCTCCCGCAGTTTGGTCAAACTCATGCTGGTAGCTTCCAGAACACTGTCCCACCATCTCGTCCTCTGTCATCCCCTTCTCCTTGTGCCCTCCATCTTGTGGGAGTTGGAACTTAACTGGTTAAGAAGTTCCCAGGATGCCTCAATTCTGACGTCAGCTTATGGAAGCTGGGAGGAGCCTGGGAGGGGTTTCTGTTCTGTTCCCCTCTGGTCGGTGAGGGAGAAAAGACGTAGCCGGTAATGGCTGCAAGGAGCCCAGGGGGAATCCCTGGGGGAATGTCGGAATAAAGAGCTGAAAAGGACAAGCCTGGACTCTGTGTGTGTTTGTCTGGAAGCTAAGGCAAAGGACGTGACAGTTTCATCACCGCTGTGCTTATCTCTGCTACTGGCGTGACTGGAGCTGACTGAAGAGCTGCTGGAGACGGAGCAGAGTCTTGTCAGGGAAGTGTGCCGGGCTGCAATAGCTAATTGAGGACCAATAAATCAATTAGCGGGAGTCGCGCCAATATCGTAAATCACCACAGGTTATGGGTACAAATCACCGCTTGTAAAACTGTCACTCAAGAGGCTGCCGGAATGCGTTTGAAGTCGGCAGGAGGCGGAAGGACTTTTTGCCTGGTGTTAAGAGGCAAGGAGTAGCTGCGGAGCTAAAAGCGGCTGGCTGAAAGACACAAAGTGGTTGCCTGTGTTGCTGGGAGCTAAGAGAGCAGCTGGAAAATCGTTTCTCCGGACGGGTGCTGGATGAGCTGGTGATCTTGTAAGTACAGCTTGGGGCCCCTTGGGAGAACGGAAGAGGATGGCAGGCTGCCAGGTCTTGGAGGACATTCCAGGCTCACTTTAAGAAGTTGGGCAACCTGGCTGCTGATCTGAAGTCTACTGTTCTGGGTGCCAGGAAGCCAGAGGCCGTTCAGCGCTCCAGGGTGTTTGTGAGGCTGGAGGCGACAGCAAGGGCTGGGAGATGGCTGCTTCAGAACAGAAAGACAAGATGGCGCTGATCACCTTCGTGAGAGCCGGTGCACAGCTGGGAAAGGCTGTGGGCCCCAGAGGGGGGCAAAGGGACTAAGGGCTGCTTGGAAATGTGCTGCGTTTGCTGTGAAGCTTCAGCAGGAGGCCAGAGCCCTGGAGAAGGAATACAAAAGCCTAAAGATGGCTGGAGCCCCTGTCCCTGATGCTTTAGCCACAAGGAGTGCTGCTGAGCAGGTCGGGGGGGCGGAAGGTTTCCAAAGGCACGTTTAAAGTTTTCCACTGTACGTGCTGGAATGAGGTGGAGATTCAAAGGGGGCGAAGCTGGCGAGGAGTGCTTTTCCGGAAGGAGGAAGGCCAGGCCAGCTGGGAGGAGCCCCGGAGCAGTGTTTTTCCACTGGAGTTCGTCATTGCTACAGGCTTCAAGGCCAGCCATCTGCTGCAGCGGGAGACACGTGCTGCAGAGTTGTCTGGGAACTCTGAGATAAGTCCAGTCTTCAGAGCAACGCAGGATGTTGCGGTTTTCGGACGCTGCCAAGGACAGAGGGGGCAGCGGGACGTTTGTTGCTTCTACGGCAACTGTGAAGAACAACTCCAGCCAGGACACGGTGACACGCTGGGTGTTTTGGTTTCTGCTATCAGGCAGCACCTGATAGGCAAACTGCGGGACTGCAGGGCTGTTTTCAACAGGAACAATTGGTTTATTCGCAGACGGAGCAGTCTGTGGTGTGGCTAACGTGTGTTTTCTGTCCTTTACAGGAGGAGCAAGAGGTCTACGTTGTGCCGGGACTGAATAGTTGTCGGTTATCTGTATCTGCTCTAACGAAGCAGGGGTTCCAAAATGTGCTTTGAAAATGACACCTGTTCCATTTTCAGAGGGGGGCGACAACGGGTCAACATGGCGAAGAGCAAGAACAATTTCTTTGTTCTGGAGTCACCTATGGAGGGTGGTGGGAATGCTGAAAAAGCACAGGTGCAGTGTGCTAAGGTTCCCAAAGATGTGCAAAGGTTGCACAGGTGCACAAAAGGGTGTAAAATCACACAATGTGGGAGGAGGTCCCAAGGGTGCAGGGCATGCAAAGGTGCAAAGGTACTTGGTTTTCCCGGGTTTGGGAGGGTAGCCAAGGAGGTTTTGAGCTGGTTCACACAGATCTGTCAGGACCCAAGAGGTCTGAGAGTCTGGGTGGGGCCAGGTATGTGCTGTCGCTGACAGGTAACCACAGCCAGGTTGGCTGGTGTCTCTCTCTCAAACCACAGGGGGAGGCGGCGCAACTGATCAAGGATTGGGTTGCGGAGGTAGAACTAAGGTTCTCCACCAAGGTGCAAGGGTTCAAGGGCGACCGAGAGTCACAGTTTACTGGGTCTGCTCTGGAGGAAGTTTTTCAAGGAAAAGGAAATACGTCACTAGGTGACGGGTGCAAAGTCTTCTCAAGGGAGAAGGGAAGCTGTTGCTGAGCCCGGTGACGGGGATCAGGTCCAGAATCAGGGTTCAGAACCCGGTGATGGGGACCAAGTCCAGGGTCAGGGTTCAGGGCAGGTTTGGGCATCTCCAAGGGTTGTGAAAGGAGTGTCCAGGTGTGAGGCTTCATCTCCGGTAATGGAGAAAGCTCATGGAAGGGTTGTCAAGTCAGAGGGGGAAGAATCTGACGGAGAAGACACAACTGCTGGCCCTAATGGGTCAGTAGGGTATCAGGTCACAGGTGCGTGGAAAAGTGTCGCACAGTGTGATTCTGGGAATGTTGAAGGGGTTCAACAGGTGCCTGGGAAAGATGCCGGGAAGGGGCACAAGGCAAAGGTAAAGGTGTTGAACTCAAAAGGTCTTGTCAGAATGGGATGCAAGAGGGGGTGTGGGAGTTGGAACTTAACTGGTTAAGAAGTTCCCAGGATGCCTCAATTCTGACGTCAGCTTATGGAAGCTGGGAGGAGCCTGGGAGGGGTTTCTGTTCTGTTCCCCTCTGGTCGGTGAGGGAGAAAAGACGTAGCCGGTAATGGCTGCAAGGAGCCCAGGGGGAATCCCTGGGGGAATGTCGGAATAAAGAGCTGAAAAGGACAAGCCTGGACTCTGTGTGTGTTTGTCTGGAAGCTAAGGCAAAGGACGTGACAGTTTCATCACCGCTGTGCTTATCTCTGCTACTGGCGTGACTGGAGCTGACTGAAGAGCTGCTGGAGACGGAGCAGAGTCTTGTCAGGGAAGTGTGCCGGGCTGCAATAGCTAATTGAGGACCAATAAATCAATTAGCGGGAGTCGCGCCAATATCGTAAATCACCACACATCTTTCCCAACATCAGGGTCTTTTCCAGGGAGTCTTCTCTTCTCATGAGGTGGCCAGAGTATTGGAGCCTCAATTTCTGTTCTCATCCTGAAGCAAAGTTCTTAACCAGAGGTATCATTTCTGAGTTAGCGGAGTCTGTAACCTGAAGCGTCTGTAACCCGAGGTACCACTGTACTTGGCCTGAGGTTGGGGTATGAAAAACGGAGGACTGGGTCAACCAAGGGCTTCATAGCAGAAGCATAGCAGGATTCGAAGAAATATAGTTTTCAATCTGGA